TGAGAACATCGACGCACTCATGACGAACGAGGAAGGCTATAACAAACTCATTGAAATGGGAATGGTCGGTGAAAAGATGGGCCTTTTTAAGCTAGACAAGGTATTTTCCGAAGTTCATGTAATATCGAAAAGGAAGTACTGGGGTGTTAAAGAAGATGGTGAAATAGTTAAACATTGCATGAAATAAAACATTTTTTAAAAAAAATATTTTTTTATTTTATTTGAAATGTACGCTGAGTTTGTTGGAGAAGACCGTTGGGAAACTTGTTTGTTAGATGAGAAATATGAAATTCACTGTTGTGAGTCATTTGAAGTCAGAAACAAAAAGACAAAAAGAGTTTTAAGCGAATGGGAGCGAAATGACGGATATGCTACTATGAAGATGGGTGGAAAAAACTATTTTAAACATATTGTCATTGCAACTCATTTTATACCGAACCCTAACAATTTACCTTTTGTAGACCATATAAACCGTATAAGAAACGACAATAGACTTGAAAACTTGCGTTGGGTCACTTGTTCTGAAAACAGTAAGAACATAGGCAAATTTGGAGATATTGTATTCGAATTTGTCGACGAACTAGAAGATGAAACAATTGAAATTACAGACTATGGTAAGCATACGTTTGAGTTTTACTACTATAGCGAAGAACAAGACTCTTTCTACTTTTATACCGGCGTAAACTATAGGAAATTACAAGTATATTTTACTAAGGATGGCTATGCTTATGTAAACGCTAGAGATACAGATGGAAAATACGTTAAAATACTTCTTAACAAATTCAAGAAGCTATATGGCATACCATTTTAAAACATTTTTAAAACAGTATATTTTTACATATATAAAATGCTTCAGGTTGAAAAACAAAGAACAAAAGTAGCAGATACAAAACCGTTAGACTATATCTTTACAAATGCTGGTAGAAATATTTCAGATGAAGAAATTTCATCCGGAGCTTACAGGTTTGACTATCCAGTTCGTTGGCTTCAAAGTCCTTCAGATGCAAAGGCAATAGGATTTAGAAGAGTTTTGTTTTCAAATAGAACTAACGCGTTTATGTTTGCAGTATATTTTCATGGCCAGTATAAAGGCTCTGATGGTCTAATAGAAAAATTTGACGAAATGAAAATCTTTACAGTTCGTTCAGACGAAAGTCTTGAGAAGACTCTAAATGACTTTCAAACTCAAATAAACAAATACTACTGGGAATTTCAAGAAAAATACCACTCTTTACTAAATGGAACATACTATCTAAAACTAGAATACGACAAGATGAATTCCACCGTTTCATTTCAAAAGATTGAAATTAACCCTCCAAGAGATACAGAGTTTTTATATTGGGGGGTGGACAAACGTTCTTGGGCACAATTTCTTCGGTTACTAAACCAGAACGAACCATTACCACCAGATGGTCCATTTAAATTTATACTCCCACCAGCAGATTTGACAGTTTATAGAAACGTGTTCGACCCTCAAAATGTCATGTGTCATGCAAGTTTCAGTTCAAGCAACAACAGTTTTCTGTGTATCGGTAAGGACTTTTATGACTTTGCTTCTAAATTCTACGAACCACCTAGTAACAGTTTCTCTGACTTTCAAGTTTGGTTCACAACAAACGGTGTGCAGCATATAATACCATTGTACTATGACTTTTATCTCGAATTGTCTTTCATATACAACTACGGAAAAGTGCTGAAAAAGTATTGAAAAATATATTTTAGATCTCACCAGGTCCCTCGGTCCCTCGGTCATTTTAACTTCTCTGAAAAAGTGTGACAACATGACATTTTGACAACAACACAGGAGATAGATTTCACCCGTTGAATTTTGTATAAAAAAGCAACCGCCGGAATTCCGGCGGTTGGTATATTCTTCACAAAATGCTTGTTTTGAGGTCGAGCCACAAACGAATGTCCGACGGTTAAGCCACAAACGAATGTCCGACGGTTAAGCCAAAAATATTTTTTATTTTTATTGTAAGAACAGTATGACAGTCGAAGCAAAAACGTTCACGAACAAATCTAATGGCGAAACATTCACAAAAGGCACCTATAACGGTATTGAAGTCTTACGTAGAGACAAGGATGGTTATATAAATGCAACAAAGATATGTCAGCAGTTTAGGAAAGACTTTAGAAGGTTGTTGGAAAATAAGTCCTGGGAAGAGTATTTTAAGGCATTTTGTGAAGAATATACCAACCCGCGGAATTCCGCGGGTTGCTTTTTATACAATGTTCATGCAGGAATTCCCGATGAAATCAAACAGGTTAGAGGAACGTATGTAGACCCAAGACTTACAAACTATATAGCAATGTGGGCTTCTCCAAAATATTGCATAGCAGTTGGAAAAATTCTGGACTCCATAGACAAGAAAGTTCATGAGAAATTAGATGAAGAAGAACTTGAAGATACAGCAGAGAATGCTAAACCTTTGTTCGAAGAAGAAGTTAGAAAAATGCATGAAAAACAAATAGAACATGAACGTGAGATATGTTCTGGTTATAGAGACTCTCCATACGAACTAAACCAATGGGAACAAGAAGATTTAAAGAGAGAATTTAGAGAATATGAACTCGCTAAAGTTTCATTAGAAGCTACAGAAGAGAGGTTAAAAGCTTGGGGTCCTTTTGTACAAAAATATTGTGAGTAAATGAACCATTTTATTTTTATCATCGTAGAAAACACACAAAACTCTTGAATTTTGTATATAAAAAGCAACCCGCGGAATTCCGGCGGGTGGTATATTCTTCACGAAATGCTTGTTTTGAGGTCGAGCCACTTTGGCTCCACCGTATTTTTCAACCAAAACTCTTGAATTTTGTATAAAAAAAGCACCTGCCGGAATTCCGGCGGGTGGTATATTCTTCACGAAATGCTTGTTTTGAGGTCGAGCCATTTTTGGCTCCACCGTAGAAAACACACAAAACTCATTTTTTTCAGCAAAAATATATTTTAGGTGGAACCAGGTCCCTCGGTCCCTCGGTCAACTAACATCTTTTTGAAAATGGTGACAACATGACATTTTGACAACAACACAGGAGATAGATTTCATCGTCAATGTTTTGTCAAGACTTTCATCGTCAATGTTTTGTATAAAAAGCAACCCGCGGAATTCCGCGGGTTGGTATATTCTTCACGAAATGCTTGTTTTGAGGTCGAGCCACTTTTGGCTCCACCTGTTTTTTCAACCAAAACTCATTTTTGTCGGCAAAAATATATTTTAGGTGAAGTGGTGAGATCTCACCTGTTTTCTCACCTCTTTTCTCACCTCTTGAATTTTCATGAATTTTCCCGAAATAAAAAGAAAGTTAGTTTTTTTAAAAAAATATTTTTTATTTTTATTGTAAGAACATGTTAGCAACAACAGCACCAAACTCGTTAGTCATGAACCCAACTTCAATGTTAGTAGAGATGAAAAGCTTCATTCCTTCTTCATATACTTTCGAAACAGAAATCCAGAAGATAAAGCAAGAACTTCTCCAAGGAGATTTAGACTGTAGTGCGAAAGATGAAACAAATGAAGAATATCTTTATGAAATGCAGGATATTATTGACCATCTACCTAAACTTCCTGAAATACAACAACAAAAGCTTACTATTCCAGAATTCGATGAAATAGAAGTCAAAGCAACTGACTCAGTAGAAACCAAGAAGTTCATACGTAAGGTAAACTATGAGTTTCTTGGATTTCATTGCAACCACAAAGTCATGGACAAAGACTGCGATATGGTATATAAAAATGTTTCTGACATATACAAATCTGAAGAATTTAAGACCTACGACAACTTTGTTTCGTTAGTTGCAAAATGTGTATGGCAGATAAGAGATAAAGATAAAAGAGGTAAAGTATGGAACGAACAGATAAAACCAGCAACTTTTGAGTTAAAGAAAACCATTGACGCCTTAGTTGTTTTAGCAGGTAAGGTTTCAGAATATAACGCAAAAATGAACCCACAATGTTCAAAATGTAAAGCAGCAATGAGGAAATATAACTACTCCGTCAAAGAGATAGAAAGAATGCGAAACGACTATGCTGATTTAAAGGAAGAAGCAGAGAAACCAGCAGAAGATAAAATGGACATGTTGACATTTCTGAACAAAAACTATCCAACAGCTGACGATTTCCTTCTATCTGATGTCAAGAAGAAATATAAAGAAACATTCGGCATTGTTAAAACTTTTGACATACTGACAGAAGAAATAGAAGCTACAAAACTGTTTAGGATTTCAAATATACATCGTACAATTCATGTAAAACGCTTGTGAAAAAGAGGTGAGAAAACAGGTGAGAAAACAGGTGAGATCTCACCACTTCACCTAAAATATATTTTTGCTGAGTAAAATGACCAAATTTCATTATATAACTGTTATGAGTGACGAAGAGAACTTTGACACTTCGTAAAAAAAAACATGAAAATCGTGAAAAAATGCTACCCCGACTTTTACAGGGGTTGCCTAAAACTCATGAAAATCGTAAAAAAATGCGAGTACGTTAAAAATCTTACTCGCCTAAAACTCATGAAAATCGTAAAAAAATGCGACCCTCGGAAAACCGAGGGTCGAGATTCCGTACGAAAATCGTGAAAAAACTCTATGAAAATCGTAAAAAAATGCGACCCCGACTTTTACAGGGGTCGCCTAAAACTCATGAAAATCGTAAAAAAACTCTATGAAATCATATCTTTTATACAAGATAGAAAAAATAAAAACAACGTTAGTTTTTTTAAAATATTTTTTTTTATTTTGTATGTAAAGACAGTAAATGTTAAACGCTGAGTTTGAAACAGTTAAAAAGATAGACAATGAGACCAAAATAGTTAGAATAGGTGATTTAAACGTAAGATACTCAAAGAAATACAAAAAATATTCTTTGTCAGACATTTTAACACTATCTGAAGGAAAGAGAGCAAGCGACTGGGTTAGAAATGCTTCAACTCAGAAAATTTTGACAAGAAATCCTGAGCTGATGATATCGGTAAGATTCTATGGAACTACAGCATATCTCATCGACAAAAGTCTTATACCAGTAGTTTTGTTCTGGATTGACCCAGTTGTTGGATATAATTTCATAACATATGGTTCATTCGATACTGAACGTTGCAGTGAAGGCTTAGTTTACATCGTTCAGAAACCGAAGGACTTCAATACAAAGAGATATAAGATAGGAAGAACATTTAATATAAGTAGTAGATATGACTCTACAGTCAATAGAGTTAAGGTTGTGTTCGTTAACGATATGAGAGCTGCTGAAACAGAACTACTTGAAAAGTTTGAGAAAATGTATGGTGCTCCCACGAGAGGTAAAGAAACGTTTGAAGTAGATGAGATCGACAAAGCTATAAAATTATTTGACGAAGTTGCTGAAAAATACATGTAAAGCGTTTATTTTTGGTCTTTTATACAAGATAGAAAATAACGCTAATTTTATTTTTATTTTATTTTTTTATTTTGTATGTAAAGACAGATATGACAACAACAGAGAACACAACAACTGCTATCGTTCATGAAGATATAAATGAAGAATACGAGTACATACAGTATAACAAACAGTTACGTCTCATTCGTTCGGTCAAAGATGACATGTACCAAATGCAAAGTATTTTGAATGCTCTTCGTTCTACAAAGCAAGCACGTCATTGGTTTGAAAACCAACAGACAAAAGAACTTTTAGAAGAATTTCCTCATATGTTTGCGACCGGTAGAAAACCGCGGGTCGAGATTCCGTACGAAAATCGTAAAAATTTGCCAAATGGTTTGAAAGGATATTATGTACATAGACTTCTTGTAAATGCTGTTGCAATGTGGGCTTCACCTCGCTATGCTTGTTATATTTTCATGATGTTAGATGAACTTCATAGACAAGAACGTGAAGAGATGGAAAAGAAACTTCAAGCAAAAGATGAAGTCATTGAAGCAAAAGACAAAAACATACAGAAAAGAATACCACGTTCGGTACCAAAAGGAAAGGAAAAGAACTATAAGTATATGATTTACACTGAAGAGATGGAAAATGAAGAAGACAGAGATATGGTTATGTTGCATTTAGTCAGAAGAAACAACAAAAGCTTTTACGACCTTGCTAAGATTTACAAATCTGACAGAAATTGGTTCTATCGCGAAAACTTACCGATTTCAATGACACCAAATGAAGATGTTAAACAGATAGTTCAAGATACGTTACCTCAAACACACTATGATATGAAAGGTTGTACAATACTTACATTCAAAGAAGATTTGCCGCTACTGAAGGAAAAAATAACAGAGTATTTTGACAACTTCAAAGAGGAAGAGTAAATGAACCATTTATTTTTCAAGCTTGACACCAAAGATGGCTCAGGTAGCTCTATAAGGTAAATTGCCTCATCTGCTGGGTCTATGTCGGTCATTGTTTCAAGACAAGTCTTTTACTTTTTCAAGACAAGTCTTTTACTTTTTCAAGACAAGTCTTTTACTTTTTCAAGACAAGTCTTTTACTTTTTCAAGACAAGTCTTTTACTTTTTCAAGACAAGTCTTTTACTTTTTCAAGAAATTTTTTGGTGTAAAGTTCTCAAATTTGAGAACAGTGGTCTTGATTGAAGACGATACCCGTACTTTTTCAAGACAAGTCTTTTACTTTTTCAAGACAAGTCTTTTACTTTTTCAAGACAAGTCTTTTACTTTTTCAAGACAAGTCTTTTACTTTTTCAAGACAAGTCTTTTATTGTTTCAAGACAAGTCTTTTACTTTTTCAAGACAAGTCTTTTATTGTTTCAAGACAATGTCCGACGTACCACCAACCGAGTCCATTCCAAAGCCAGAAGAACCGACAGCCCCAGCACCACAACAGACTAAGACTCAAACACTTACATTTTTACGCTTGACTTTTTACAATTTGAACTTTGTTTGCGTAGATGTGAATTCTGAAAGAAGTATGAGGGTCTTGTATGACTTTGTACCTCCCCCATAGTTCATGTCTGTCAAACTTACCTGCCATGGACTCTTTCATAAGTTCCATGAAATCGTCTTCGGACAATCCGGGGAAAAGTATGATATCAGTAAGTATTCTCTTTACATCCTTACTTAAACTCTTTGCTGTCTGTACACAAATGACAACTGAAATGTTAAAGTGTCTGAGCTTCTTAAGAATTCGACACATGTCTTGTTCTCTATTCTTTAACAAAGGATGAGAAGCAAAGTCATCTAAGATAAGAAGACACCTATGAGGGTAAGTCTTCCAATCGTAAGATTGCAATTTCTTCGAAATGTATTCTATCTCTTTCTGTTTGTTTCTGAAGTGTTTCTTCTCTAATATTCTCTGCATTTCCTCATTTGGGTCTTTAAACCTCGAATTGACATACTCATTTATAGCATTGTACTTCAAAACTCTTCTTTGGTACTTCTTTATCCAATCTAACAACTCAGAGTCTTTTATACATACTAACTTAGACTTCTTTATAATATCTTTGAACGAATTGACGGTTTTGGTCAAATTGACCAGAAGTACTACAAATGACTACTAACTCATAGAATGGGTTCTTCTCATCTAGTTCTTGTTGTTTGTGCAGCCATTTTAAGATAAGTGAAAGTCTTACCCGACCCAGGCGGTGCGATTAGACCTGTTATACCATTCTGAGCAAATAAGAACTTGTCATGTATGGGTTTTATCTGAGCATTTTCCAACTTCCTCTTGTTCTTATTTAAAACATTCTCAAATTTCTTGTCAATGTCAGCAAACTTTTTTTCTAACATATTTTTAGAAAAATTAAAATTTTTATCTTTTAGGAAATGTCTAGCGATTTCGCTATCTATATTCGAGACAAGCTTTTCGACAGCAAAACATCTGTCGACCATAAAATCTTACATAGTGTAAACAAGAAAGGTGAATTTGTTCTAAAGTTCTGTTTCTGGGAATATGACAAGAACCATAAAACATTAAGCAGAGAAGTCTTAAAATTTGTCAATGACAGACTTGTTGACAGAGATGACGCCTCTTGGAGAGATGAAGTCCAACAAAACTTCTTAGAATGCAAAGAAGACACATGCGCTGTTCTTGAAAATGAAATAGAAAACAGAATAGAAGAGCTATTAAATGACAAAGCACTTTTACAAAAATATGGTTCTGTGAAGTTTGACATAACTCCACCAGAGAAGAAGAAGAGAGAAAAGAAAGAAAAGAAAGTAGAAGAAGAGAAGAAAGAACCAGAGCCAGAGAAGGGGAGATATGACATGTAAAAATAAAATTTTATTTTTAGAACATTTCTGGGTCAATGTCAATGTTCTCTTCCTCTTTAGGAGCAAACACTGGCTTAGACTCTAAAATCTTTTTACCCAATTTACCTTGAACTTCAACTATCTTAGACTCATAATATTCATAGTCGTCTGCTTTCTTTGGTTCATAAGGTATAACAAGTTTGTATGCTTTGCCTTCTTTAAGGTTTGAGAACCTTCTGTCAAAACTTTCTTTGACTGTTAACAAACCTTCTATGTCTAAGTCTTCAAATTTCGCACCATTTTTAGTCACAATAGCAAACTTAACTGGTTCGATGTTCCAAACTTTGTCAAATGTAGACTTTTCAAAATGGTAGAAGTAAACATTCAAATATGTGAATGGGTCTAGTTCTTCTTTAAGTCCTGACATGTACTTGTTGACTGAGATGAATTTCGTCATCTTTTCTATCGGATAAAAAAATATTTTTTTTTAAAATTTACTCAGAAAAATTTTTCTTTGTATATACACCATTCTGAACATCTAAAAGACTTTTGACATTTGCCAAGAATGTTCGTTTAGACGCTGTCATATAACCATACTCTTGACAATACTGTTTATACGAATCGTACAATGACCTTTCATCTAAACACTCAAAGTCAGTTTCATCTATGAACAGTTCATATACACTCTTGTTTGCTTCTAACAATGTTTGTCTCTCTTCGGTATGTGGAATTTGTCTTGGATTGAACTTTGAAATATCTAATGTCATGAAATATGAGAACAAGTGGTTGTAAAAGTCAGATGTCAAAGTTTCTGCTAAGTCGTCAAAATATTCTGTATCTTGCATATGAGCTTCTGACGTTCTGACAACTACATATCTTCTGTCAGAACTTTCTAACTTCATCGGAACAGCATTGTTTGAAACCATGACGAAGTTTGCAACATTTTCACAAACTCTTTGGTCTCTATACTTTCTTTCAACAACTCCAACTTTGTCTGTTATAAGACTCTTCAAAGCATCTGAGTTTAAAACTTTGTTGTATCTATACTTTGAAGTTCGTTACATACTATAAGTTTCATATTCTCTATTGAAGAGTTAAATTTACCGCAGATGTTTTCTAAGTTTGTCATATTAGGGTTCGAATAGCCCTCTAACAGTTTGCATAAGATATCTGTAAAGAAAGTGTTCTTACCAGTTCCTTGTTTTCCAATTATGATGAGAGCAGTTTCATTTTTAGCACTTGGATGTTGTAAGATGTTTGCAAACCAACATAAGATATACTCATAGACTCTTTCGTTTCCATTGCATATAATTTCTTTGACATGGTCTAACCAAGCTTCTATAACATTTTCTTTCCATTCTACTTGTTCGTATTTATATCCAGTGAAGATAGAATAGAAGTTTGGAGAGGTGTATAGAACTTTATACCACGAACTGAAAAATCTTCTAACTTTGACAATAAGATATCCCAAGCATCTAACATCTTCATGCCAACTTGTACGACTTTTATTTTCTTAAGTTTCTGTTTACATTCTTGTTCTGAAACTATTGTCGCTTTAGGTTTGTTAAAGACTACATCCCATTCTTTCATGACATAACATTCTGGGGCAGAGTCGACATAAATGACTAAACGTTTCAAATTCTCGACTGCTTTGTTATAGTCTCGAAATGGACACATATTTCTGAAGGCTTGGAAGTCATAAAAATCTGAAACGTCTATTCTGTACATTTTTTATAAAAATAAAAAAAATATTTTTTTTATTCTTGAGCTATTTGTTGTTCTTGACTTTGTTGTTGCATTTGTTCCATTTGTTGCATTTGTTGTTCTTGAGCTATTTGTTGTTGAAGTTGTTCTTGTATACAATACTTTCACCAGTTGCATCTTCCAATTCGAAACTTTCTGCCGTCATTGACAAATACATAGGACATAAAAGTTTTACAGGAACAAAGTTTGCGTCAACTAAGGTTAAGTTTATGTTTGCTAAAGTGTTTGAGTTTACTAAAGCTGAAAACTCTGCATTCGAATGAACAATAGGCAAACCAGCAGAGAAAGTGTTGTTTATACGCATGAGTATCTTTTGGTCATAGTAGTTTCTGTCGACATTCGAATAGCACTTTGAACCTAAGTTTGAAACAATATATAAAATAGGTGTACTTAAAGTCAATGGAACGGATAGACCTTGTATG